GTTCGGCCACCCTTTATACACAGTCTAGACTTGTAACTGTTAAACTGTGATGATTACCAGGACTACTGCTGAAATACGATTTCATGATGTAGCTATTAGTAAAATATGTCTCACTTTATTAAAAAAAAAAAAAGCAGAGGTGTTCACACACAATATAGACACGGTGAACAAAGCTTCAGCATGCTGGCACTGTTCTGCTGATGGCTAAGGCCAAGCAACCGAAGACACTGAGGTGGACTGTAGTTAAGGAAACAGGCTTTTGTTGTCAGGCAGAGCTGGCCTGAAATTGTTCTATCCCCAGACCACAGCATTATCCACTATGAGGACTAAATGAGTTAAGTCGTGTAAAGTGCTGAGAAGGGTGCATGGTACATAGTAAGCGATCAGTGCTACCTGTTAGACTCAAACCCACTCCCCCAACTTCTTTCTTGTTGGAAGAGACCAAATTTTGTTCAATTGTGTGCCTTTCTTGTGAACATGTGCTCTGAGTAAGGGACCCCATTGCTCAGCGTCTTAGTCCCTTCAGACTGCTATAACAAAATACCTGGGCCTGGTGGCTTATAAACAACATTTATTTCTCACAGTCCTGGAGGCTGGGAAGTGCAAGTTCATGATGCTGGCAGATGTGGCGTGATGGCTGATGAGGGTCCACTTCCTAATTCATAGACAGTGCTAAGCACGGGGTATAGGTCATTACTCATAAAAATGCTGCCAACAAAGACCATTTAAGGAAACCAAAACTCCAACTGTGACTCCCATGGACACACTTTAAGATGCTGGATGGATGTATGAATGTGGAAATTATTCAGTAAGTGTACTTAATTCATATAGTCTATAGATTACCAAATAGTTGCAAATTTCTACCAAGCTCAGTGAAAAATGAGCCAACACCATGTAATTCATGCTTTGTAAAACAAATAGTTCAAGGACTGCCACGTGCATTCACCATGGCAAAACAAAAACCTGTATGTGAAAAGTCAGGAGACAAATTTTAGCTCAGCATTAGGGGGGAAAAAATAAACCCCAAGATTTCCAAATCATTTAAAGCTACCCAACAACACAGTCAGCTACTGGGGTAGGCAGAATAATACCCTTGCCTCCCTCCCTCCCACCCCCCAAGATGTCCCACATCCCAACATCCAGAACCTGTGAATATGTTATGTTACATGGCAAGGGGGAATTAAGGTTGAAGGAGGGAATAAGGTTGCTAAAGAGCTGGCCTTGAGATGGGGAAAGAATCCTGGTGGGACCAATGTAATCACCAAGATCCTTATACATGAAAGGAGGAGCAACTAGGAAACTAAGACAGCTTCCTTGGGATATAGTGTTCTCTCTCTTACAGACGACGTTCAGGCTGAGTTAAACATGTTGCTCACGGTGTGCAGGGGAGTAAGTAAAATGTCATGATGCTTCAGATAAGGATTGCCTAAGTGAGTTTCCAGAGGCAGGAGTCCTTAAACTGGGTCTAAAGAAAACCCCTGAGAGAAGATATTTGCAAATGACATGTCAGATAAAGGGCTAGTATCCAAAATCTATAAAGAACTTAATCGAACTCAACACCCAAAGAACAAATAATCCAATCAAGAAATGGGAAGAACACACGAACAGACATTTCTGCAAAGAAGACATCCAAATGGCCAACAGACACATGAAAAAGTGCTCCACAACACTTAGCATCAGGGAAATACAAATCAAAACCACAATGAGATACCACCTCACACCAGTCAGAATGGCTAAAATTAACAAGTCAGGAAACAACAGATGCTGGCCAGGATGCGGAGAAAGGGGAACCCTCCTACACTGTTGGTGGGAATGCAAGCTGGTGCAGCCACTCTGGAAAACAGTATGAAGGTTTCTCAAAAAGTTGAAAACAGAGCTACCCTATGACCCAGCAATTGCACTACTATGTACCTACCCAAAGGATACAAAAATACAAATTCTAAGCGGCACGTGCATACTGATGTTTATAGCAGCGGTCTCAACAATAGCCAAAATACGGAAAGAGCCCAAATGTCCACTGACTGATGGATGGATAAAGAAGATGTGGTATATATATACAATGGAATATTTCGCAGCCACCAAAAACCCCCCGACATCTTGCCATTTGCAATGACGTGGATGGAACTAGACAGTATTATGCTAAGCAAAATAAGTCAATCAGAGAAAGACAATTATCATCTGATCTCACTGATAATGTAGAATTTAAGAATAAAACAGAGGATCATAGGGGAAGAAAGGAAAAAATGAAACAAGACAAAATCAGAGAGGGAGACAAAATCATAAGAGGCCCTTAATCATAGGAAACAAACTGAGCACTGGGTATTATATTAAGACTGATGGGCGCCTGGGCGGCTCAGTCGTTAAGCGTCTGCCTTCAGCTCAGGTCATGATCCCAGAGTCCTGGGATCGAGCCCCGCATCAGGCTCCCTGCTCCGCAGGAAGCCTGCTTCTCCCTCTCCCACTCCCCCTGCTTCTGCTCTCTCTCTTGCTGTGTCTCTCTGTCAAATAAATAAATAAAATCTTTAAAAAAAAAAAGACTGATGAATCACAGGTCTGTACCTCTGAAACCAATAATACATTGTATGTTAATTAAACATTTAAAAAAATAAATATAGAATAGTAAGAGGCAAAAAAGAAAAAAAGAAAACCCCTGAAACTGCATGTACTTTTTTGTCTGTCCCTTTTTCTGTAGAGAGGGCCTAAGCATTCAAAGATTCTCTAAAGAATCTGTTTTACAAACAAGGTTAAGAACACTCTTCCTAATGCAAACTGGTGCAGCCACTCTGGAAAACAGTATGGAGGTTTCTCAAAAAGTTAAAAACAGAACTACCCAATGACGCAGCAATTGCACTACTATGTACTTACCCAAAGGATACAAAAATACAAATTCTAAGGGGCACATGCATACTGATGTTTATAGCAGCAGTATCAACAATAGCCAAAATATTGAAAGAGCCCAAATGTCCACTGACTGATGGATGGATAAAGAAGATGTGGTATATATACACAATAGAATATTACAAGAAAGAAATCTTGCCATTTGCAACAATGTGGATGGAGCTAGTGTGTATTATGCTAAATGAAATAAATCAGAGAAAGACAAATACCATATGATTTCACTCATATGCGGAATTTAAGAATCAAAACAGATGAACATACGGGAAGGAAAAAAAAAGATGGAAACAAACCATATAGACTCTTACCTATAGCAAACAAACTCAGGGTTGATGGAGGGAGATGGGTGAGGGATGGGCTAAATGGGTGATGGGTGTTAAGGACACTTGTTATGATGAGCACTGCATGTTATATGTAAGGAATGAATCACTAAATTCTACTCCTGAAACCCATATTACACTATATGTTAACTAGCTAGAATTTAAATAAAAATTTGAAGAAGAAAAAAAGAACACTCTTCCTAAATTATTTCCAACACTGAGCTTGTACTGTTTCATGATTTTCTAAGGTAATGAGTCTCAAAGTGTACCCCATCAAACACCAACACAAAACATCAAAATTCACCAAAGGTTGTTTGTAAAATGAAGATGGCTGAGCTCCACCCCAGGTGGAATATCTGGGAGCTACAGGAAAAGTTCAATATTGAACAAGACGGGGAAAGGGAAAACAGGGAATTCTATACACAGTTAAAGAACTATACTACTACTCCAAGACGTATTTTATTAAATATCAAGCTGAAGAAACTGAAATAAATTGTTCTTCTCATTACCAAATCTTAAAATCAGTGCACTCATCTTACCGTGTGACTCTTTGTAACATTTTTTTTGAGCCTCAGGTAGTTCAGAATATTTAAGCAATGCTACTGCACCTAATTTTTTATATTAAAATTCATACTGTGGAGTGCCAGGATGATTGGCAGGTAACACATCACACATACAAAATGTTAGCCATATCCCCCCACCCTCATGTAAAGAAAAATAATGCCCGGCATACTATATTGCATCCTGTTAAATACTAAAAGAGTATTAATATCGTTACTTAATGCCAATTTTATATAACTTCTTGGTATGATTCCCCTCCTAAATTGCCACTCTTTTAAGCGCATATTTTGCTTAAAATATTCTTCTGGACCTATGTCTGTGATGCCGTAGGCATTTATAAATTAAGTCTTTTGCGAGTCGTCGCGCGGGGCAACCGGAGAGGCCTGGAAGAAAAATCTCCCCATAGAGATGGGCCCAGAGAATGAATACGAATGCTACCAGTGGCTTTTGAATTTCAGCAACCTTGGGCAGCTTGACAGCTCTAGGGGGACCTGAGATATAACTGGGAAGTGGCCTGAAGGAAAAGCGTTTAGGACCTGTCTCCGCGCGTCACAAATAACCCAAATTCCGAGACAAGGTCACAGAGAAGCCACAGCAGGGGCCCAGGAACGGAGTCAAGTTCTTCCAGCTCCCAAGAAAACCCTTCGCGGCATGCACTAGGCCAAGTCGGCGGACTCCTCCCCAAGAGAAGGCCTCAGGAAGAGGGAGCCCCGAGCACCTCCACACCCAGATGGACCTGAATCAAAAAGCCCCTGACCCAGGCCCATTACTCAGCTACACAGAGCAGCTGAGCGACCCCGACCACTCACCCCGCAGCCGCTGCGTGCTGTGAAGCCATCTCCAACTAACTCCGCGGCCGACAGACCACCCGGAAGCGCCCTTCACCAGCCCCAGTTTTTGGCACCGGCCGAAGGCCAAGAGATCGCGCAGCACCCGAGGATCACAGCCTAACCTCCAGGAGGCCGCCATCTTCCCGGCCTTGTCACGGGCTGCCCGCAGCACAGCCTGATCGCCCAGTCAAGACCCTCCCAGGCCCCGCCCCCTGTCATGTTGGCCACGCCTCCGGACTCCAGCGGTGCCTGTGAGTCTCCGAGGCGAGAGGCCCTCCTTAGTCCCGCCTCCAACCTCGTTCGCCCCACCTCCCGGCCGGGCGGCGGTGCCTCCGGATCTCCCGTCCGCCAGGCCCTCCGAGACCCGCCTTCCGCCTCGTCCGCCCCGCCCCCGGGCTGCCCTTAGCGCCGCCCGATTGCAGTTGTGGCCTCACCACAGAGGGGGCTTAGCCCAGACTGAGCGCGGGTCCTTAAGCCGCGCGAAGATAGGAGGCCGTGGTTCCCCGTCATCCGGGCCATGTCGGGCTGTCACCCTCCGGAGGGAGACTGCGACTCGCAGTGCTGCGGCGCGCAGGTAGGGGCGGGGCCGCGGCTGCCTGGTTCGCCGGGAGGTGAGGCGCTGGTGACACGCGGCGGCGGGAGCTGGGCCCAGACCCGCGGGGCCTGGGACCCGTGCGGACGCGACCCCCGCTTTCCGGCGCCTCGGCTCCCCAGGCCGACCCGGGGCCACGGCCCCGCCGCGGTCCTGCTCCCGGGGCTGGGCTCTGACGGCGGGCGCTGAGCGCCGGGCGCCAGACACTTTAAAGGGAAAATAACGGAGGAGAGCGCCGGGCATCTTGAGTGTGTTTTGAAACAACTTTTTGGGGGCAATAAGGCCAAACAAGGCAACGGGAAGCACTGAGTGGAAATGAAGCTAAAACTGTTTGCTCTCGAGCTTATTTTCTGCGCCCTTGGCTACCAGCCCGACGTTTGGCAGGCAGTAGGCGCTCTGGAAACGGTGGCCAAATCGGGGCTGTGCTTCAGTAGCCAGCCCTTTCCCGCTCTGCCTGCCTCAATTTAGAGTGATTATGGGACGATCATAGAAGATTTCTTCCTTGAGCAGGAGTCAAAGGAAAATCCACCCTCGGGCTGCGTCTGCTTTTCTTTCACTGGGTATACTCACCAACAGTTTTATGGAACACGAATGTGCTCAGGGATACAGCAATGATTAAGACAAATGGCCTGGGGTCTGGAGGAAAACTAGACGAATCAACAATTACAATACAATGTGAGAAGCCCTGCTTCAGAGACAGGGAAAGCCCCCCACCCCAAAATTAGCCCTCTCATTCCCCCTGTTTTTCTTTCTTAGGACTGAAGGTCCCAATTAAAAAGTAATAACACATGGGAAATTTTATTGCAAAATACTTGTCAATCTCGTTTGAACAAGTAACTCCCCAGATTACCAAAGACGACTGTGAGGATGGAATGCTGGACAGGGACAGTTGGATGGGAAGGGGGAAGACATTGGATACAGGACAGGTAGCTAGGCAGGTGTGTGTGGCAAGTGAGGAAAGCAACCTGTTAGTAGAATGTTGCTAAGATGTTTCAATAACCCATGTGTTAATGCCCCAAGTAGATAAATCATGGTGAAATATAATCTAAATGAGCAATCCCTTTATCAAGGGATCTGAGAATAAACAAGAATTCTCAAACCAAACACTGCCGACAGACAATTCGGTGAACAGGCATGTTTAGTTCACTCATTGTTCATAAAAAATTTGAGCCAACCTTTCAAAATGGAGAACACTTAAAACTTTAGAACATCTGATGGCATTGCGCTTGTATTCCTTCTTGGGGTCTAGATTGAGCTGACTAGTGACTACCACCTAAATGTGCTTGCCAGGTTACCACAGCTCCACCACTCGCAACAGATTTGCATATGCACTTAAACTACTTCCTGTAAGCTTGGTTCAGCCCCTGGGCCACCAGTTTGTAACCTGTGATATAGGACTTTTCTTAATGTAGATGTGATCGTAATCCAGTCAGTGTTTATTGAACAAAGCACTGTGGTAAGTATATCGCTACATCAAGAGCATGTTCCCTACCCTTCAGGGAGCTATGCTTAGCTGGAAAATAAATCAAGAACTACTTCTATTTTTTAATTATACCTTACTTATCACAGTGTCCTATATGTGTTAACTCGGAATAATAACTATTTGTGCTTTGATATTACAGTAACACAAGGTCTTCCAATATCCTTCCCTCTGTTTTCCTTGACCTCATCAGATCTCCACCCTCCCCTCCACTCTAGCAACCCATTCCCACGGCCATATCCTTCCCCACCCAACCACTACCCCTTCAGCCCACACTTTTTTGGGTGAAGGATTTTTCTTTTTTACTCATACAGGTCTCTGTGTGTAGCCTCTATCAAGCCTCTATCATAGGATCCTCCATCCTGTATTACAAATAATTGCCTTTACTTAAATGCCTCCCACTCAGAACCCCAAGGGATGGAGGGGTGTCACTCAACTATATACATTTGTGTCTCTACAAATACTATTGTGTCCTACTGCAGCTAGCTCCTAAGCACCTCATGGCAGCCCCCTGAGGAGCTTCCCTTCACATTATGTTAAGTGACTCCCAAAACCTCACCGTCTCACCCCATCCTCTCCTCCAAGCCTGTTTTGAAGATGACTTTGCCTCCAAAATCACAAAGAAAAGGAAGCTATTAGGTGTGAACTTCTTAACTTCAATTTCTTCCTGTTCCCACCTACGTTATAATGTAAAGGTTAAGAACAAGACATCTAGAATCTGACTGCCTGTGCAAATCTTGGTTCTGCCAGTTGCCATCTGAGTGGTCTTGGACACATTAATCTTTCTTAGTGTAACACAGTTGTTATAAGGATTAAGCTAAGTTGTGCATATAAAGCCTTTAGTATGTGTTATAAAACAAGTATTCGATAAATGTTAACTATTTTTGTTATTAATTGTATTATTACACATTTTCCTGCATCTTTCTTCCTCCTGTCTAAGGTAAATACCTCCCTGGTCAAATTCCAACTGCTCTGTCTTGGCAAAGATTGACCTATTCGTTGGGCTTTTGTTTTCCTATGTCATTAATCTCTCCCCTTTCCCTAATTTCACCTTTTAGTGTGTAAAGAAAACTTTATGTTAACCAGTTTCCCCTTCTGTTTCCCTATCCAGCCTTTCACAGCAACATTATTGAAAGAGTCCTTAGAATTCTCTGCCTTTAAGTTTTATTCACTTCTTCACCCACTGAGATCTGGCTTCTACACCCAGTCTATTGAAACAATTCTTACTTAAGATCATGGTTGACCTAATTTACAAATACAGTTGGCCTAGCAAAACCCCAGCCTAAGATGAACCTACTAACTATGGTTTTTGTGATTGCACTGAGCTGCATTCCTAGAGAAAACTACACAACTACACTGACTGGCCTTGCTTCATCTTCAACATGTCAGCCTCAGATTGGCACTTAACACTGCCCAACAACCATCCTGGGTTTCCCTAGTACTTTACTGTCCCACTCCCTGAGATGACTGACTTATACCTTTTATTATCTTTTCAAGCCTCCCATACCCTGTGCTCACATTGTTACTCAGCTGATGACTTTGTTTATACTTAAGAAGATAGAAGACATTGGATATGAACTTACCTTCTACCACAAAACCTACCAATCTGCCTAAACCTGAACCCATCTTCTCAGTTCTCAAGATGGAAGAAGCCCAATCCCTCCACTTGTGCTCAGGATCTCCCTCCCCTCTCACATCCAGAAATTGTTTCTCTCCCTCTCCCTGTCTCTCCTACCATGAATCCATTCCTGCTCAGCAAGACCATTCTCATCAGCGTGGCTTCCAGGCCTTAAACATGTCAAGCACTGTCTCACTCCAGGGCCTTTACATCTACTGTGTTCTTAGTGTGGAGTGCTTGCTGTTCCCCAACACAAAACCTTGCGTGTGAGGGGCACCTGGGGGGCTCAGTCAGTTAAGCCTCTGCCTCCTGCTCAGGTCATGATCTCTGGGTCCTGGGATTGAGCCCCACTCATTGGGGAGTCTGCTTCTCCCTCTCCTTCTGTCCCTCCCCCTCTTGCTTCTGTTTGCATGCGCGCTCTCTCTCAAATAAATAAAATCTTAAAAAAAAAAAAAACTTGCGTATGCAAACACTTATCACACACTGTTTTTTTCACACTTTGTAGGCCTTAGATCCTCACGTGCTCAGAGAGGCTATCCTTAACCACATCAGTCAAGTCAATCTCTGCTATGTTTCTATAAGTTCCTAGTTTGTTTCCTTCTTCTTACCTATTATAGTTTATTCTTCTCTTTGCTTTTTCAAAACTACCCTCCAGAATGTAAATTTCTTTAGGGCAGGGACTTGGTCGAGAGTTCACAGCCGAATTGCCAGGAAATGCTGGGCATACTCCCACTGTGCTTCATTAAGACTTAGCTCAGCCATCCCCTCCTCTGTGAAGCGTTTCCCAACTCCTGCTCTCTCCCACCCACTAGCTCTGCCCCCCCAAGCAGTAGCTTCCTTAAACTGTCTTGTATTATGTATCTCTTTGTCCTTTCATAACTTCTTTACTAGATTGTGAGCTTCTCAAGGGTAGGGATTTTTATCTTACTCAATATTCATTTTTTTGGGGCTTGCAGTAAAAATTTGCTGAATGAATGAATGAGAAGGCTCTGTAATACCAAAGGAGAGGTATATAAAGCAAATGCCGTGGCACAGGATTAGAGGAGGGAGTGATCATTTCCTGCTGGGATGATAAGAGAAGGAATCCCAGGTGAAGTGGGTAGGGAGTGTGGTATAAAGGCCTACAAGCAGGAGTCTGATAGCTAGAGTTGGGATAATTGAAAATCCGGCATGAGCATTAACAGTGCAAAGAAAAAAAGATGCACTTGGTTAACAAGAAAATATGTCTTAGTTAGCTAGTGCTCCATAACAAATACCCCAAAATTTAGGCTTAAAACACAAGCACTTACTGTCTCACAGAGTTTCTGAGGATTAGGAATCCAGGAGCGTTTGGCTCAAGGTTCTGGTTTGGGGTTGCTCATAAGGTGGCAGTCAGACTGTCTGCTGGAGCCACTGTCCTCTCAAGGCCTGACTGCAGCTGGAGGGTCCGCTTCCAAGCTTGCTCACATGGTTGTTGGCAGGCCTCCATTCCTCACTGATTTTTGTCCATACACCTCTTCACCACATGGCCTTCTGCGTAGGCCGAGTACCCTTACCACGTAGCAACTGGCTCACTCCCCCGGAGCAAGTGAGCCAAGAGAGAGCACCCAAGACAGAAGCTGCAGTGCTTTATAAGCTAATGTCAGAAGTGACCTACTGTCACTTCTGCCCTTATACTGCAGTCTGTTGGTCACGCACGCCCCCGTACAGTGTGAGAAGGACCACACCGGGGTGTGAATACCAGGAGGCAGGGACCATGGAGAGCCATCCGGGAGATTGACTACCACAACTAGGTTGAACAGAACTGAGAGATTTATGTAAACATAAACTGAAAGAAAATATTTGAAAAGGTAAAGTGGGGCAAGAAAGCAGAAGGACTTAAGTAACAGACTATGGATTAGGCATTTGTGCATTCTGTGATTGGAGGAATGGGGTTCAGTGATCAAAGTAGTATATTCTTTTAGTACCAACAGGAGAATGGAGGCTAAGCTAGAGAAGAAGGAGAGGAAGGAGAAATTGTAGGCAAGGAGACTAAATAGGGAAAAATAATCTTATTCCTCCCCAAATATGAGTCCCTGAAAGAGTTTTTACTCAACTGTTGCAAAATAAAAAACTCAGGATAATGAAAAATGAATTTCACAAAATTAATGCATTCAATTTAAAGGACTACCTTTTATTCTGAGATGACCCTACTTTTTTATGTTAAAAATGCATTTTTTTGAAGAAGGTGATACTAGATGGTTAAATGTAATAAATGTTCTAACTTGGCAACCTTGTGACAGTCCCTAAAATTTAAACAACAACAAACTGCTGGCCTATCTAGGGAAGTCTGGGAATCACGGATTCAGATTATTAACATAAAGAAACTGATACCCAGAAAAGGTCACTGACTTGCCTGAGGGCACTCAGCTAGTGGAGGGTCAAAGCTGAAGCCAAGCTTCAGGTCTTCTCATTTCTTCTAGTCAGTGCTCAGCTGATGTGAAGATGAGTTTTTAAGTATGGTGAAGGCGAAAGGGAGAAATATGACTGAGTGGAGGTGAAATTGCAAAGAAAACCAGTATGCACAGAGAGGAGAATGAGACAGAGAGAAACAAAGCCCAGAGACTGAGAAAATGCTGACAACATGGCTGTGCCTGCGTCCAGTCCCTTCCTCAGGCCAGTGTCAAGAATTTTGAAGGACTGAAATGAGCAAAAAAAGATCACTGGGTGTCCTAGGGCCATCTTGGAGCTATTGTGCAACCCTAAACTGTAGAATGCTGACACAGTGCAGATGATTATTGGTCATAGAAATGCGAGCTGTATTCTGGACGTTCAGTTTGTTGCTGCCTGGAGGATATTGTCCAGTTTTTCCTTATTTGTAAATCCAGGATTGCTGATTACTTTATAGGGGTGTGTGTTTTGCATTCTCTTTGGATACAGTTGTATCATCTTTCTGGTTCCGTCATTAGTTGATGGGTTAAATAATGTCTTTCACACATTTATTTTAGAGTTGTGTGAGAGTCCCCCAGGAAAACCTCTGTCCAAGCAGTACATGTCTCTCTTATGCTTAAATTGAAAGAAAAGGTGGGGGAGGGGATTAGAGTCATTGTTGACTATGAGCAGGTGTCTCAGTGACAGTAGAGTTGATTTCCTTAAAACAACTGGATTGAAAAGGAAAAATAAAGTGTTGATTCAACTGCTTTTTAGACTTTAATGTTTTTAATAGACACAAAATACTGTTATTTTTTTTTTTTAGACACAAAATACTGTTAAATGTTTCTCCCTCACAGTATAGGACCGCTACTGTAAGAAATTGATTATAATCCATCTTTAGATAGGTCTTTCAACCTTCTTACTCTCATTGAAAAGCCAGACATAATAGTAACAGACAAGTAATATTATTGACATTCAGGGGAGAAGTAAATGTTAACTAACCTTTTTCCTTCTTGTCTATTCTTATTGAAATATATGTTCTGATATTCACTTCCTTACCATTCTGAACAATTTAGATGACTGCATTTTACCCAGTATATCTGTTAGTTCCCACTGCTCAGTGATTATTTTCTTTGAAATTGTAATTTTGTGGGTTTGAACAGCTGAATGAAACTTTATTAACAACAGCTGCCTTATCATTGTTATTCCTGTAGCACGAAGTGGGCTAATTGCTATAATAACTCAGTACTGGAAGAGACAAAAGGAAAAGGGGAGAGACCCATAATAACAGACATTTTCTATAATGTTTGCAATTTGCTATGCAAATTGATGGTTTTAAGGATTGGAAGACTAGGAGTCTTCTCATTAGCTGTACTTTAATATATAATTAAAATATCATTTGTATCACTAAAAAAGGAAATAGCAAATGACACAGGGCATGGATGATTCTGGCTAGATTTTGTAAGGACAGATATAAGGAAAGCCAACACAGCATTCTTATTATTTTTAATTCAAGAATTTTTAACACATTAAGAATAGGAAGGAAGGTAAAACTCCAGTTACAAAATAAGTAAGTCACAGGGATGAAAAGTACAACATAGGGAATATAGTCAATAATATTGTAATAACATTATATGGTAACAATGGCAACTATATTTATTGTGGTAAGCATTGAGTAATATATAGAACTGTCAAATACAGTATGTTGTACACCCGAACTAATATAACACTGAAAAAAAATGGGAGGGAAATTAACATTGACTGTGTCACATATTGTCCTGGATGCTGTATCTTCATTATTTTCTCTTTTTTAAAAAAACTTATTCATCCCATACCTGGAAGCCTGTAGCACTGTATCTCATTTTAACTCTCATAATGTTTTCATTTTATGGATTAGTAAAGTGAAACCCAATGTCATATAAGCAATAAATGGTATAATGTAGGTTTGACTTTATGTCCATTAACTCCGAAGCCTGTGTTGATTCAGAACTTTAAAAAATGTTAACATCCCCATGTTCTTAATTTTATATTTTGAAGTCTACTGCATCAAATTATCATTTATAATAAAATACAATGTATATGTAAAATATTAACTGAATTTTGGAAAACACCATCATTTCCGAAAGCCAGTTAAATAGCTGGACATTTGGTCTGTTCAATAATCATCCTCTTTGGACTCAAAGATGTTTTTCCCCTTTACTCAGTGCCAAGATTTATCTAGGCAAGCTTCCTTGCTATGCTTTTGTGCACAGAGGGTCTATGTCTTGTTCACCCTTACCTGGAGGGTATAGCCCCTTGTCTGGTCTCAAACCTATGAAGGGATTTTCTATCAGGTACCCCATTCTGAGCACATCCTGTGTTTTATCTCATGTTTCTAGTGGCTTGCATAGCTATAAAATTGGAGCTTAAACTCACCAGAGTTCTGCAAATACCTTCAGGGAAATTATGACTTCAGAGCTTCCCTCCCAGGTAGATTGACCCTGGTTTCTTTTATGGATACTGTCAAACCTTACTTTCTTGCCAGCTCAGCAATTTAATTTGAAATGTTTTAAAAAAAATTATTCAGCATTTTTAGTTGTTTTCAAGTTAAGAGTAGTATTTCATATTGCCTAAAATAGAATTCATTATATTTCTTTATTATTGTTTTTGTTTTCATTAATTTTCATTTTAAAAAATGGGGGAAACTGGTTTTTTTTCCTAAAGAAGTAATCGTTAAACTTAATAAAAATAAGCTCTTATTTTAACTTGACTTACTGTGCTAATCATTTCACAATATATACAAATATCTACTCTTTATAGTATCCACTATGTCAATTCTACTTCAATAAAAATACATAAAGCTCAAAATGTATCCCAACATGCATACGTTTGTTCCTGTACACACATATCTTCATAAAAATGAGCCCAGAAAATATTCTTTGTGATTGCTTCTGAGTCCTTTCCATGTTATTTTCTTGAAATTATATTCCATAGTGAGTAGATACTGCTTTTGTAATAAGAGAAAACAATGTAATCACTGGAAAAAAGATTTTAGAATAAAAATAAAATTGAGCCAACACAGAATATGAATACATAGCTGTCATATGTATATCATGACTTAATTGAATAAGATGTTTTGTGTAAAGAAATTCGCTGGAGAGATGGAATCATGTTCCTCTCAGCACTAGATACTATTTCAGCCATTGCAATAGACATATATACTAGGCATTTCACCACCTTGTTTTTGCAGCCTGTCCCATAGTGTTGGACTAAATGGCCCTATTCTGAATAATTTCAGGTTGCCAAAATAACATAGTAGAGCCATCTTCTAAACATTAAAAACCAAGTATGTTTTGTAATAGTTTTTTCCCTCATGGTAACTTCTCTGCGGTAGATTTTCTTAAACTTTCTTACATTGGCTTTTTAAAAAGATTTTATCTATTAGAGAGAGAGAGAGAGAGAACAAGTGGGGGGATGGGAGAAGGGCAGAGGGAGAGAGAGAGAAGCAGACTCCCCGATAAGCAGTGAACCCCCCCACCCCATGTAGGACTCAATCTCAGGACCCTGGGATCATGACCTGAGCTGAAGGTACATGCTTAACCAATTGAGCCACCCACGCACCTCCTTTCATGGGCTTCTTAACAGAGATGTCCGCTAGAAAAGTCACTTGATAACATAATATCTATTGGAAAAATCATTATCTTCTTTTTAAGGACAAGGAACATCCAAGATACCTGATCCCAGAGCTTTGCAAACAGTTTTACCATTTGGGTTGGGTCACTGGGACTGGAGGAGGAATTAGCTTGAAACATGGGTAAGTTTGGGGCTGATTTCACTTCTGGGAATTGTCCATATAAGTAGCCCAATGAAGAGCCTAATATGTGTCCTGTCCAAAGAACACCTGGTGCCCAGTTTTATGTGATACTAAAAATATTTAGTTTCTAAATGGAGAAATGAATAGTTGCATAACTGAATACATGTGCAGAAATTGTAGATACAGTAAATACCTAAGTGTTTAAGAACCACAGTTTCTAATCAGAATAATTTGGTCCTCAGTCTTCGGAGTACCAAAGTTAAATAACATGCTGCCAACTATGTTTATATGGCTGGAATTAGAAAAGGTCCCCTCTAGGTGGACAGGATTTGTTTTAAAGGTTCAAAGACATATTTTAAAAGTCACTTAAATACAGATGACGAACCATCAAAAATACTAAAAAAATACATTTTATTAAGTCAAAGGCAATATGCCTTTCTAAATGCATCATGTGTCATCACTAATGGACAGCACCTGCTGGTCTTTATTGCTTAGAGGACAAAACAAGAGGGACTGGCTGAAACAGAAGGAATGAATATTATTTAATTGTTCATGAGATGTATTCAGTGTCTTTCCTCCAAGATGAAGTAGTGTAGTACGTAACCTACTAACAATGAAAATACAGGTTGTTTAATCTCATTCTTTCCAGTGTTTCCGGAAGAGGATGAATTTTTTTTCTCCTGAAATGCTTTAGGAATAGTATTGTCTGGAGGCTGAATGTTAAACTGAGTAACTTGATTTCTTTATCCTAATTCACTTTCTTTAACAAAACTGAGTTACTATAGCACTTGTACGATATTGAATATATACAGTAACACCCCCTAGGAGGCTCCATTTCCTAGAAAGGAATGGAGCGTAAAATGTAATCAGAACATCTAGAACAAAAGGGGTTTTTCAGCATACCACGATGCCAGTGAAATTTCACCTGCTTCAAGTTACCAAGTAATTTGAATATTAATTGAACTATGGGCAACAGTAGGGGGCCTTAACTGTCTTAGTTACACGTGTATAGGGATGCCCTCTGTCTGGAAGGGTCATGTTCCTCATGGGACATCGTACATCTTCTGTGCCTCCTCTCTTACCATCACCCCGTGTTCCTGTGTCATTTCAGTACTTTGCCAGTTTTCAGGTGATTTTGCCAAAACTTCCAGGTCCTGTTCAGAACAAGGCCCTAAGATAACAACATTTGTCATTGTTTTCATTTATCCACTTAGTTGAGTTCCCCGGAATTTGGTTTCTCAGCTGTTTTTATGATAAATCATACTCTAAACATTGCCTTTAGTTAACTGCTTTTTATTCGCATATGCAGAAAGTTTATGTATGTACAAAATAGAGCTTTCTACCCAGCTGAGTTACAATAACCATTTTCTAAGTGGCTCTTTTCAAAAAACAGCCACATTTTTTTTATCATAAAGACATAAAAGACTGTTCTTTCTAGAAGAATTTTGTTAATGCATGCACTGAAATTGTGGGTGGTCACTCTAAAACACTCACTGGCACCTTTTAAAATTAAATGGTTTTTACAGCACTACAGTCAGTTTATGGGGACATTGCATCATAAGCAAAATTGCTTTGCTCTTAGATTCTTAATGGGTGAGGAGCTCCTCCTGGAGGTCACGGGTGGAAACAACCACAATTTTATGGCATTGGAATCTTAGTAATTTTGTGCTTTACAGAGTAAGGTGGGTAATTTGTAGTAAAACGTCCAATTTTTTTCCTAATATTTAAATGACTTCATAAGCCCCCATCATTAACTTTATCCCCTATGTTATTCTCGTGTTGTTAGTGAAACTTTGCTTTTCTTTGTCTGAAGCTTAAAGCAAATAAATTTGGAAGGAAGGATAAACCCAACAGATTGTGTTTGGGAATATAAAATTTACTGATTCCAAGGTCTGGCTGATACAATTCTAGATTATGCTACTTGTGTGTAGTCCCAAAAGATGTATATAAAAGACACCTTAAGATCCATATGAGCATTAAATCAGAAGGAGGAAATGGAAGACCAAGAAAATGACAGTAATCATAAGCAATTCCAAGATACCCAGCAGCCACTGTGTTTAGGTTGGGTCATTATCATTCACATTTAGCATTTCCTGTTTTCATGGTATGATATCGTCATGTGTCAGAGACACTAATCCTAAGGCATGCTATTAGAATGAAAATTAATCAACCCATACTGTAGACAAGATAACAGGCATATAGTAAGATTTACATTTTTTTAAATAATCAGACAGTAAAAAAAATAGAAGCAACTGAACACAGGTATATTATGAACTCTTGAGTTTTGCCCTCTTCCTTACCAGATAGTCGAAGAGCAGAGGGTATGGAGAAATAAATTCCAAAACTTAATGCCTTCAAATTCAAAATGCTTTTTGATTGCAGCTTACAGCACCAAGTAAAGACTTCACTTCTAATCTTTGGCATATTTCCCTCCTAAAATAAAGGCTCTGTCATCTTCCTATTTTTATCCAGATAGTTCCTTCTTTGTAGGTGAAAATGCATTTTTTCCACAATCTATTTAGCTAATCTTTAAATTACCCAAAGTGATCAGTCTAAACTGATTTCTGTCTTCAGAAAGGCAGCAATAAAAACATTTAGATTACCAAATCATTTGAATGAACAGAATACCCTGGATTTTTCCACTTTGTAGATGAATTTTATTTACCAACAGGCTGTTTTGAACTTATTTGGGTCTGTTCCCAGATTACATAAATTTCTCCCCACACAAGAAGACTTACCCTACAAGTACACTGACTTCGTACCACACATGATTCTCGGAATGATTCCTTGTTACCCAAGGACAAAAGATTTGGATCCCTGGTATTTGCAAAGGACCCTTTTGTAACAGTATGATCCCTACCAATTTCACTGATTCCGGAGGAATGCCACTCCATGTTTTCTTATGTAAGAAAGCCTTACATAAAGTGAGCTATGTCGTTGTGAAAACAAATGATTGGATATAGCTTGCTGTGCTTTGGATTTCTCTCCCGTTTTCAGGCATTTATTTTGTAGACCTTAGTTTACAAGTGGACCCTTAAAGAAACTTTCACTTTTGTCAGTTACAAGTCTATAGGTTTATTAATAATCCCAACAGGATTGATAGCTTGATTCAATATAGGCCATCATCCTCATTTTCACTAGGGAACAGTTAATATTCAGTGTCCCTCTATCCATGGCTCAGGGGCAAAAGCTGGAGCGTGCAGGTGCTGGGATTTCCTTCATTTGTATGTGGCAGCTCTTAAAACCCTCTGGCAGCAACTGAAACTGATAAGGACCTTTAGAGAAGATTTTGAAATTAATTTCCAAATCAAATTTGAGAGTACTTTCTGATAAATGGTGTATTATAGCATCGCCCTTAGCACAACATTCTATAACAGGAAGATCTCCAGATGTTAGCATGCCTTTTATATTTTTAACTTTCTGTAGTTGTTTTAGCTTTATTACCAAATATTTTCACAAGAAAGAAACGCTTTTCAAATAGGAAGCGTATAGTCCACCCAAAAAGTAGCTGTGTTAATGCTGTAATTTAATAAACTGTCCAGCAGGGGTCCCCGAACTTCATGTTTTATAAGAAGAGAATTTCAAGCAATGAAATTAAACATGATCCCTTGTAAGACAAAGATCTACTCCTCGTGAGCATATTTTCTTCTGATTGGATTTTATAATAACTGTTCCGTGTATAATAAGATAAACTGCTTACTCATGCTTAAAGATGCTAAAGACTTGTGTTTTCACAGTGGTATTTCCCCTAACCAGATAATTCTGATTACCATTGATTTTGCACTGTAAAAAGAAATAAAGAAATATATATGAAAACTATCAAAATTTTACTTTGTCACCAGCACTATAAAGACATTACCAGTAATTTGGTGTTCTTTCTATACAGCATATACCATTAATTAAATTAAGCAGCTTTCTGTGTGACTTGATTTATAAAGAGTATTGATAATTGGACTGCAAGAATACACTTGTCTTTGGTCAAAAGCAGAAGAGTAGAGTTAAATAAATGCCAATTTCTTTATTTTGTGTTACCAGCAATGAAATCTACATTGCTCCTTCAGGAGTGCAAAAGGAACGGATTCAGGTATGTTAAAGGGATCCTTAACTCCAAATGCCTTCTCTTCTCTACTTGACTACTGTTTTGTGAAAGGGAATTAATTTTAAAAGTTTTAAGGGGGGTTATAGTGTTATAATTTAAGTAATCAATAAACATAGTTTATTATCAATAGTTATCAATAGATAAGTAACTATTAACTATTTTTTTAAGGTGATTAAGTAATCTCCATACAACTAATATGTTCTGAATTCTCATTCAACCTCTAGAGGGCACAAGGGAATAGTGCAATCTTTACAAAGTGATTATAATTTTGCAGTATTATAGCATCTTTATCAGGCTAGTAGGGTAGTCACATTGATAGTCTCAAATGGACCAAACTGGCTCATATTTAACAATAGCAAAGCTATCCCAATCTAAAGTTATAAAACTTTATTTCAAATTTTTGAGAAGTCTCATTCCATATTAATGCTTAGAAGACTCAAAAGCTAGTTAAAACAAACATCTAACACTTAACTTCTAGCTAAGGCATAATGCTTCATTAATAAAACATTTAGATTGTAGTTTGTAATAAGCTCTGGCAAGTGAAAGTCACAAGTTGGAAGTATGCACACACTACTAGGAAAAATCTGCATCTGCCTAACTGCTTGAACTTTAAAATAATATACCTTATTGAGGTGAACATTTCTGAGTATCAGTTAAAACGTTTCTCAGGAGATTAGAAATTCAACTCTATATTTTTCCTCATATCATGAAATATAAAAAAAGAACTGTAGCACCCATCTCAAAATGATGATTTCTTTGTATACCTTCTCTGAAATAAAATTGTGAAATTGCAGGGAAAATCTAAGAAGCTACATTAATGAAAACAGCAATATTATTACATACATATGAAATTTTCCATATCGTTTCTTCAAATTCTAAAGGAAGAATTTTAACTCTCGAGAATATTTTTATCAGTAGAAACATTTTTTATTTCTCAAAATGGCTTAAACATTTTCAAAGAGAAACTACATATGGATATTTAAAATAGGAGTTAAATATGCATACATATATATTAGCACACACAAGAAAAGGGACACTTCTAACTGATATATAAGCCTTTTTTTTTTCTTTTCCCCCCCTCTATAAACAGCCTGAAGACATGTTTGTTTGTGACATCAATGAACAGGATATAAGTGGACCTCCGCCATGTAAGAATCTTAAAAAAAGCCAGTGTACTCCTCTTTTCATGAATGCTTACACAATGAGAGGTAGGCAGAAAATGGATTGAATGTAAAGAATATTTGCTACAGAGTAGATTCCCTAAATAATTGTAATTATTGTTGTAGTTAACATTTCTTGAATACCTACTATGTGTAAAAACTTTAAATATGTTGGGTGCCTGGGTGGTTCAATTGGTTAAGCGTTTGCCTTCGGCTCAGGTCATGATCCCAGGGTCCTGGGATCGAGTCCCACATCAGCCTCCCTGTTCTGTGGGGAGCCTGTTTCTCCCTCTCCCTCTGTCTTTCCCCCCAGCTTGTGCTCTCTTTCTCTCTCAAATGAATAAATAAAATCTTAAAAAAAAAAAACTTTAAATATGTTAACACATTCAGACCTCAGATCAGCCTAGTGGAAGGTCCACTATTACTCCATTTTATATACCAGAGGACAGAGGATCTGGGAGATTTTCCTAAAATAAATAGCTAGTGAGTATTGGGGCCAGAATTTCAACCTAGTATGACTCCACTAGATTGTCAAATTGACTAAATACTATATTTGCCATCAGATTCCCACTTCTAGTTTAGAGTTAAACCTCTGGGAACTTGTAGTAGAAGTAAGTCAAATTATAAATGAGGGGAAATTGTGGCCTTTACTTTAGTAGGACTGGTCCTCTCTTTTTTAAAAATGTACTGTACAAAGGAGCACCTGGGTGGCTCAGTCAGTTAAGCATCTGCTTTTGGCTCAGGTCATGATCTCAGGGTCCTGGGATTGAGCCCCACATTGGGCTCCCCTCTCCCCTTGCTGATGTGCTCTCTCTCTTTCTCTCTCAAGTGAATAAATAAAAAATCTTTTAAAAAATGTACTGTACAATAAAAGTAGGAGTCTTATTTTAATTCCCAGAATTTGCAGTAGAAAATCAGTCTGGAAAGGTTGAACCTAGAGGACAGTGTGAAAATAGAAAATTATAACTGGCTCAACCATAGCAATAAAGGCATTAGAACCGTGCTTTAATATAGCCACTGAATGAAATCAGGATTGAGTCTGTGATCATGCTATGTTCTGTTCCTGGACTTTGTCAGCCGCTCCTGAGAGGGCAAAACCTCAGGGACAGATTCTAACAGAATGAAGCCCCTTTCCCAGCAAAAAGCTAAATAAACTTCCAATCGCAAAAATAGCCATTACTGAATTTTATAGCATACAAATCCTTTTTAGGTAAACCCATTACAATTATACCTTAAAAGCCCTACCACCCCTTATGCTACCAAGACATGGCCTGCACTATGAAACCCAACTTGCTGATTACGGGTCACACTGACCCTAAAGTCAAATCCAAGTGCTGCCACAACTGTCTGAACATAGACAAGTTACTTCACATCTCCAAGCTCCCACTTCCTTGACCATCAAGTTGAGGAGATAGAATTTCCGTCTATGGTTGTCGTGATGACTTAAGAGCAAGAGGTAACATATAAAGGGGATTTACCCAGTGCCTGGCACAGAGGAACCCCTAATTAAATGGTACCATTTTGACTATGATCTCCATGATTATTACAGCTGTACTTCAGACCACCTAAAGCTATTTCTTGAGCATGTGTGAAGTATTGTGCATTGTCCCGATGCGGATAAAGCTTAAATGCCTTTTGCTTTCCAGCTTCTCTATTACCATTTCTCTCTTCCTTCCTCCCTCCCTTCCTACCTTCCTGTCTATTGCCAACTTATGATTCCATGCCAAGAAAAACAAATTCAAAATCATATACAAATAAATGTGTTTTATATATATATATACACACACACACACATATATATTTATATATATTTCTTTAAAAGGTAACATTTTGTTTTCACTGAGCATGTGACTTTTTTTTCTTCCTCCAGGAGCAGGTGCAGTGATTCATACCCACTCAAAAGCTGCTGTCATGGCCACCCTTCTCTTTCCAGGACGAGAGTTTAAAATTACCCATCAAGAGATGATCAAAGGAATAAGGAAATGTACTTCAGGAGGGTATTATAGGTATTTTTTTCTATTTTTGCTTAAGTAATTTGAAAAGTATTTTTCTGTCTTTTGATAAAGAAGCTACTGATCTTTCTATGCCTGTAATGAGATGTTGTGGGATCTACGTTAAATAATAGCCCACTTACTATTATTAATATTATACAGATTTCTTCTCAGCGACACAAATCAGATGCCTCCCCTCCTCTTCCTCTACCCCAACCTTGGTAAATTATTAGCAACACGAATAATGAAACATTTGTCAGAGTAAGGTGAAAAATCCTTGGCTGAGCTTTCTTTAGAGACAGAAAGATTATGTTCCGTATGGAATCACCCAGAGAGCAAGATCCCCTCACCTTCACTAGGTCTCCAGGAAGCTTCAGCCCTTATTGAAGTTTACGTCATCTTGATTTAATTTAGTATTTCTAGAACATTTTCATATTTATAGAAGTTGTGCAATTATTTCAATTAAATAGATCTCTATTTTTATAATTTTTCAGTATGGAAAATGGCATAGATGGTATAGAACCTTCTAGAGAAAATCAAATAAATCCACCAGCCCACCAAAATATAGAATTATTTGCCAATCTACATGGGAAGAAATGTGTTCTCAGTGCTCCGGTACAAGCTAAGCATTTCATTTGAACGCATTGGCATTCTTATTTCTGAGCTTATTAATTTGCTAAAGGGCCTGATTCTACCTTATCTAGCTTAGAGGAAACGGGTGCCAGTTTTTCTAAAGTGTTCTGACAGCAGTATCTTATTGTTACTCCACATCGTAGAATGTACAAGTTTAAACTAGTGTGTCAAGAACTTACTGTGATTTAATTTTAGTTAATACTTATTGTATGCCTACAGCATTCGTTAGCACTGTGGAATACCTATTTACAAAAGTTAAATGTTTAAATTATGAAGGTGTACATACTAAAGAAAGTATAGCCCCACACTGCCTTTTCCATTCTGGATCTCAAAGGAGAGGCATTATGTGTGCTATTAATTTCCTCAGCACTTGATTGCTTTGGTGAAGAAATAAAAGTAGGTCGGAAGGAGGTGTGAACGGCTGCCTAGAGGAACAGCACAGAATTCCACAGCCTTTGGAATTCTGGGGGGAAAGGAATGTCATGAATGATGTCATTTCTTATGCACCATTACATACACATTTCATATATTATTTTAAATGTTTCGGAACTTAAAGAATACAAACTTTTTTGCAATGTCCTTCGCAATTCTCTTTGAGCCTGGAAATCAATAACAGGGTCATTATCACCACTCGGGAGGCAGAGATATATCTTTTTTTTTTTAAGTCCATCTTGAAAAACAAAAACTTTCAAATACATACCTAATTCTCCTCAGGGGAGGTTTCCATATGTAAGTGTAATTGTCCTCTCTCCTGGCAGCAACACGCCTGTGGTAGAGTAAAAAGAACTGTTTAATGATCAAAGGACCATTCTGGCTCTGTTCATTTAACTCAGAAGGATTAGTGTTCTGTCTGTAAAGTGGGTGATCGGATTGAATTTCAGGTCTTATTTTGCTGTGATACTATTTTACCCCCAAAAAGATGTCTGACTATTCAGTATAGGCTCGAGGGAGTTACATGTTTGTGATTCTCTTGGCCAATATTAGGAAAGATTTGGGATTAGCAATTCATTCCTTCCATATTTAAGAATATTTTTTAATTACTTCTCTTTTACTTAAATGAAATAATAAGGGGCGCCTGGGTGGCTCAGTCATTAAGCGTTTGCCTTCAGCTCAGGTCATGATCCCAGGGTCCTGGGATAGAGCCCCGCATCGGGCTCCCTGCTTGGTGGGAAGCCTGCTTCTCCTTCTCCCACTCCCCCTGCTTGTGTTCCTGCTCTCGCTGTGTCTCTCTCTGTCAAATAAATAAACAAAATCTTAAAAAAAAAAAAAGGAAATAATAAACATCTCCATACGTGAGAGCTACTTAACCTATACCTGTCCTAAAGTTGCAACTTTTGATAAAACTATACCTAGAACTTTTTTGTTGTTACATTTGGCCATTACAGAGGTCGTAAAAAAGCAGATGTTACATTAAAAGGCAAGAGAAATCCATGTAAAAGGGAGAACACTTCCGAGTTCGACATGAGCAGAAAGGAAAACGCTTATGCCGATTTTATCACATGTATTTCCTGAAAACAAGATGGAAGTAAAAGAATTCTAATGCCACAGACTTGAGAATGTTCTGAAAATATTACCACACCATTAAGAGTCATTTCCAGAAGGTTCTTGCTATCCCGGTGCCACAAACCACATCTCTCTTTATTTATTTGCCTGAGACACTTTGGGGTCTTGCAGAGATAAAAGAAAAGGATTTTGTATCTTTGGAAAACTCATACTTAATAAGCAGTTAAATTGTTAATCCTTTCTATGCTTCTGGTTATCTGATCTACCATTTCCCATCTCCTGTTGAAAATATTGATTGTCTCTGCTTCAAGGAAATACTTGTATGATCTTGATCATTTCTTTCTTAGGTTTCGGTATCCTATACAAATTTCTGCCACTTATACTTAGAATACACCTGCCAAATTCCCAAGACATCTTTTGAAACAGCTGTTTATGCAAGATATACAGAATAACATGCAACATCTTGTCCATAATTTGGAGTGGCTTTCAGAAATAAAGAGAATGTCTAACTGGTTACTTGAAAAAAAAATTATGAACTTTACATATGAATACATTTGTTTTAATGGGGAAAAAAATGGCTTGTTTTGTCCCATAGGTATGATGATGTGTTAGTGGTACCCATTATTGAGAACACACCCGAGGAGAAAGACCTCAAGGAACGAATGGCTTGTGCGATAAATGAATACCCGGACTCCTGCGCGGTCCTAGTCAGGCGTCATGGCATGTACGTCTGGGGAGAAACGTGGGAGAAGGCTAAAACCATGTAAGTATGAATCACAGGACATTTGGGACAAATCACCACATTCTAAATATGAAAGGGAATGGAGTATGTTTTATGATTTGAAAGGAAGTATGATTTTGTGTGTGTGTGTTATTGGTCAGATTGGTTTAATTTTTTTTAAATTTTTTATTATGTTAATCACCATACATTACATCATTAGTTTTTAATGTAGTGTTCCATGATTCATTGTTTGTGCATAACACCCAGTGCTCCACGCAGAAGGTGCCCTCTTTAATACCCATCACCAGGCTAACC